TGCTTTCCCAGGCTACATAACAATAAACCATAGACACTGAGACCAAAATTCATGTTTGCATGGATTCTCTGTATGACCTTGGTAGAAATGATGAATAAAACCTAGATCCAAAATTGCCTCGCTTGCAGCAGACTTACCACAACCATTTTGAGTCTTGCTGGTCTTTATGAAGGAACCCATAGATGAGAATCTCTTCCATAGATGAGCAGAGGCCAGTGGCCGTGCAGTGACCTCTCTGTGAGGCAGGCAGCAGGCCCAGGTCTCTCTCTTTGCAACGGAACATTTCTTATTTTTCATTTTGACAAAAAAAGAAGGCCAAACTTATTAACATCTCAGTTCACAGATACAACCACAGAATGGAGTCGAGTCTCCAGGCATGTCTACCAACAGGGTTTAGATGCTCCCAATCTGCTACTTCAGGATTTAAGAAGACCCCACTAAAATGTGTATTTCAGCCTCTCAGCATGAAGCTTCATGTTCTAACAAAGAATAGTCAGTGCTGTTCCCCAAGACAGGGGCAGCCAGAGTTCTCCAAATCTGCTTAGAAGATGCACCTTCTTAGAGGTGAAAGGTAGGAAGGTATTATTAACATCAATCACCATCAAACCTTATCCATTATTTAATAATTTAACTAACATTTCTCGGGTGTTCCCCAGAGCTCTGCACTGCACAAGACATGCACCATAAGCCCGTGAGGAAGTTGCAGCTCTTCAAGCAGGAAGCAGTAGGATTTCCCAACCCTTCCGAACCCTGGGACTCCCGCTGCCTCCATTCATTGTAGGAGCTTAAGTCACAGTACAAGAGTTGCAGTGATTAATGGGAACCTACCATCATCATGATGACTGTGCTGCTTTGTGAGTGACAGCAAACAGTAGCTTCTCTGTTGCCTCTTAGAGACTGATCACCCCTCCTGCTGACAGCCTAAGCCAACTCACTGAGAAGACACAGCATCATCCCAAACCACTTGTCCCAATACAGATCGGTAGCACATGACAGCTCCATTGACTCTGAAAACTTCTCCTTGAATGAATCTGCTACCACAAATGAAGCATAAATTTGTCCTTTGCATTTAGTGACAGTAAAAATACTGATTTTTAAACCAGTAATTGACACCCTAAAGGCAGCTAAGAGGAATAGTACTTACTGGTAACTGTCTGTCCTAGTCCTAGCCTTTCACAGGATAGGAAAGAGCAGGGAGACAGTTGGACATTATTACTAATAGAAAACAAGGACAGAAAGGATTTCAGAGACAGTGTGTTCCCTCTGAAAGGCTTGGGCAGCCTTTCCTTGTTTGCTAGACATTTCCAAAATCAAGAGTGTAAAACACAGTGTATAATTGTCTGTGGGAAATGATGGGTATAGATACCAACAGCGACGTGCAGTTAAAAGTTAAAATATGCGAGTTTAACTGTAAAGAATGGAAAGGGAGCAGCAGCGACAGCGGTGCCTGTAGAATTTGAACAGAGATGCATTTCCAGGTAGCCTAAGGTGTAGTGCTGCAGGACAAGCTTCCCAGACAGTATGACCAACCTGCATTGAAGACCAAGCGTCTGTAAAAGATCAGTAACAGCAGCACCTCATATTCAGCAAAGTAAAGCTTTCTACCAATTCTGAAGAGTCTGGTATCAAAAATATATTGCATTGCCATTTCAATCTTTTACATTTCATTTCTGACAGGACCTTAGATGCGATGTTAAGCACAGAAACCATGCTACTTCATAACCATCCATACCAAACAGCCTGCCTCATGACAGCTTTCAAAGCACTAGATTTCCATCAGCACTGTAACCCCACAGCAGAATGAGCACATTTGGCTGGCAGCAGCACCGGCAAATGTCCCTTCCACGGATCTCTGGTCCATAGCAGGCAGGCCATCTGGAGTCCCTGGACCACCTGGGGCCATCTGCAGCAGCAGGAGCACCTTCCTGCTGGCCAGCAGCAGTTGCCACACAGGCTTGGTACCAACTTTAGCAGCAGCAATGTATCTGCTGGTGTCTGGGCCAGATAACCTGTTCCTAAGGTTGTAAAAATGGGACAACTAGAAAAAAGAATCTTCAAGGTCTGATTACACTAAAGGCAGATTCTTAAGATCCTCCTCAAAGCAAACCCTGAAAGTTATTAAAATTTAAAATTTCAGAGAGAAGAGCAGCTTAGTCAAACAATTATATCAGAATTCTACAGCCCTCCCAAAGAACTTTCATCACCTTTACCTTAATCCAGCCTTGATGTAACACAGCAAAAAAATGAAAGCCACAAGAAGACATCTGCTGCAATATATATTTTAATTCAAAGTGAATCTCGACAGTAATACACCATAAATTCTTATTTTGACACTCACCAAAATAGTCACCTGGAAAACCCGCTTTTTGTGACAAAGTACAGAAGGCTTGGTCACATTTAAATCACTGAGAACTAGAAAGAAATACTATCGCAAACTGTAAGAGACATTACATCCATAAAAAATTTTCCCAGTCCTCATATTGTAATATTGCACAGTGCAATTGCTACATGGCCAACTAGTGTAGCATAGAAATCCAAAGCAAAAAAAAAAAAGCCACAAGTCTACAAATTGTTAAACAGTAACAGTTCAAACTGATTAATCAAGTCTCTATCACTGGGTATTTCTAGAACAAGTCTTCCTACAGCTTGCAGTGTGATTTAACTTTTACTTAACACAAACCAAGTTAATTAGCAGTAAAAACTAAAAATTTAAAAATTAAAACAAAAAAAAAGTTAATACAGTAGCATATTTGACCAATAAAACACCCTGAAGTAAAGTTAAAAACTGAACACAAGAAATCCATATAAAATCTTGCAAATTAGAGTAATATGCAGATATGCAGTTCTGTAGTCATGCAGTGTTTTATTTAAAAAAGGCATTAAAATGGTTACATGTATAAATGCTTTTCAGGGGGCGACTTTTTTCACAGAAAAGGTCCTCACCCTGAAAGCTTTTTTTTTTCTGCGAGATGGGCCCTGGACACTTGTGACAAGAGTCCGTTCTCTCTGAGCATATTGCAGGATGGGGGGAGGAGGGAAATAACTCGGTGTATTGAATTTCAGCTGTGGCAGGATCCCAAATATTTCACTCTATGAAATGCAGACATTTCTAGAATTACAGCACATAGGAAGAGCAGCAGATCTAATTTGGGGCGCATTTACAGCAACTTTTTCCTTGCATACAATAGGACACTCTTGTGATATACACAAAATTGTGTCAATTCAACAAGCACGTTAGTTTAAAACCTCAAGCACAGTAAAAAGAAAGTACAGTAAATATATTAGACCAGTGAAGATCCCCATGGCCCCGGGAAAAAAAAGAAATGCAGGTTGGTGTTTTGTTATCACAATACAAAATTCATTGACTCCATTTGCATTGGTGATTCTTGGTGTGTCCATTGCCTGCAATGGAGTAAGCACCAAAAAAACGTCGTCTTCCCCAACACAAGGGAGTGAACAGAAAACTATCTGCTGGACCATATAGCACAAGTTTGAAGTGGCAAGGTGGTTATCCAATTTGAGCATTTTCTTGACTCCCTATATTTAGGCTTTATATATGTGTTGATATGATTTCAAATTCCTCAGGATAGTTTCTCATGTATACTTTATATACATACACTTGTACAAAATGCATAGAGTTGATTACTAAAAACACTGAAACTTTTGGGAAAAGTTAGGTTTCTTGATTTTCAGTGTGATTAAAAATGTACTGCTGGTATTTTTATTATTTTTAATAATCTAATACTGTTGTATTTTAGTTATTACCTAAAAAGTAAATCAAATGTAGGCACATTTATTTCATTCAGACATTCATTAAATAAAACACTGCTTGTGTTAGTGGAGTAAAGAAAAAAGATTACCAGTTATTAGCTTATTGACAGAGTTAAACTCAAATGCTTTGCACTCCTATTCCAGTCAACGTTGCAAGGATTGTATTCCAGATTTTGTTTTAAAAAAAAGTTAAGTCAAGCCTGCAAGGTGCAGCTTCTTAAGTGTCTACACAATGCCAATATGAAAACATAAAAAAATTAAGTTACATCAATACATCCACTTATATGCCGTGATGAGCTCATAGTTAATGGAGATAAAATACTGATGCAAATAACACACCCAAAAAAACCATATGCAATTATCTTTCATCATTTACAGTATAGTAGTTACAACACTTCAAACATGAAAACAAAGTTAAAAAAACAAACAAACAAAAAAATAAACAAAAAAAAACAACCCACAAACCCAAAACCCGGCTTCTATTTCATGTAATTAGACTTGTACAGAAATTAGAAGGCTAATAAAGAACTAGTTAATCACCTAATTTCACAGCTATCCGAAGTGGCAATCATTATATAGCAGCTTATCTATGATACATTCAAGATAAATGATACAATTTATTACTTGCCCATAAGCTAAAACACAGCCTCAGCTTAATACCTTCCATAAATCCCATCTCTACACTACAGCATACTTGAGGTCTATGAAAAAGTAGCTACCTTTTATAGGAAATGGATGATTAAGTCTTTGGTGCTGCAAAAGCAACTTCATTTGAACGAAACAAAACAGAACAAAAAAAAAAAACCCAAAAAAAGACACACTTCCTAAGGAAAGAAATAATGCAAAAAGCATGTAATTTACGTCCCTGACGGAATGTATTAAATAAGCAAACACCCGCAACAGGCTAAAACAAATATTATCATGTAAAAAGACTAAAATCTCTCCCATGCATAAATGAAAGATTGCACACAAAGAACTCACATCTTTTCAAGCTTCAATAGTAAATATTCTGCTACTAGTTATTAAATACTGCATGGTTTGCTCAAGCTAAGATGAAACCACATCATGGATCAATGAGCACTTGGCTTTTGCTTTCATTAGCTAGTCAGCCATGCCTACTGCACCTCTAAACATTTTATTATATCCAATTAGACAAACACTTTAAAAACCAACTACTTAGGTTGTATTGCAGTTCCATTTGCCAGTATGAAATACTGTGTTGTGTGTCACTACTCAATTGATACTGAATCAACTTTTCTGAAGCACTACTAAAATCTTCTCTTGAAGCTAGATCATTCTGGGGGAAAAATAAGACAGCAAAATTCAGCTACAGCAAAACATGCCGTCTCCTCGATAAGGAAAACACACCCAATACTAAAATCATACCACACAAAACCCAAAATGAGCATTACGCTATCAAAAATCAGAAGATCTGAATTTTTAAGTGCTGCAGTCCTCTAACATTTATATATAAGTAATAACATTAACAACCTCAAATATTTAAGGCACTATGTGTGGGAACAGTTTACAATGCAGCTGAGATTATTAGGACAACAACATTTAAGAGCAATGTTTAGGCTTTCTTCTTTTTTTTTGCCCATGCAAAAGACACATGCAATGTGAGGAACAACAGCTCAACTTTTAGATAAGTGACTCAACATTTAAACATCAAGATACGCAACACAAACAAGTTACTTCTACACTGTACTGCTGACATATGTGCATCTGTTGCTCTAGTTCTGTACACTGAATGGCTTCCCAAATGTAGACGTGTCTTGCACTAGTTAGAAGGCAATTTTATAAAAAATAGCAGGAGCAAAACCAGATTTCTGCTCCCATAAGTCACCTGTCTAAGGTTACTATATAAGAAGATAACATGACCAAAGAAAGACAAGTTATACCAAATGTGCAAAACACATTAAAAGTGAGTTTTCTTAAAGCTCAGTTGTTTAAATTGCACCCAAGTCTACATGATTCAAAAAAATAATTTTCCTGTTGTGCCATGGCTAATATTTAATAAATACCATGTTTCTTCTTAAATCAAACTTCTGCATCATTGAGCTTCCTCAATACACTGTATTTGAGTTCTCACATAAATGGATACTGGCTGAGTTTTGTTGGACTCAATGGAAATCCTGTGTAAGCAGGTGATGCTGCAATGTACGAATGTGGTGGGAAAATTGGTTTGTATTGAGTCTGATGAATGGTTGGGGAAGGTAAGAGACGGGGATTTATGCCAACTGGAACCTGGTGAACTATACCACTGGGATGCGATATATTGTACGTTGGGTGCTGTAACAAGGGTCTTGAGGTACATGGCGAGGCAAGAAGGTGGGCAACGGGAGCAGCAGTACTCAGGGGTGCTGATGATGGGTATGGAAGAATAGCAGGCTGTCCTCCAAGGTGGGTACTTCCGGGGAGATGTGCGTGCACGGCAGTGGGATTCGGACTTCCTTGTGGAAGGGAGAAAGCGTGACCGGCAAGGCTGGCTGGGAGGTAAGGCTGCTGCCTCCGATGAGCATAGTTTCCATTCCATTCCTGCAGCCCAGACCCAAAGTGCTGAACCTGTCCACACAAAGAAATGGGCAGGTCTTAATATTGCTAAGTATAAAGAGAGCGTGAAAAATGGAATAACGTACTAAAACTAGTCAACTCAAAATCAAGAGAAATATAGAGACAGGAATAATTAAATGCTTAAACCAAAATAAAATAAAATAAAATTAGCTATTTAAGTAGTAGCACAGACAGGAAATCTGACAATAAGAGATGGTGAACAGAACACAAGTTATTTAAATGCTCTTGCAAAATAAATAAATAAAAATGCCATGCTGGGCTGTTTTAACAGAAATACCATGTATCACATGAGCAAGGTGCTTATTCCACTCTACTCAGCACTGGCTTGGCATCAATTGGAAGTGCTGCATTCAGTTTGGGCACCAAAATGAGGCACAAAGAGGACAAATAGGAGAGAAATTTTAGAGGAGAGCAGAAAAAATAATAAACGGATTGAAAATATCTGAGACAACTAGGCAAACAGAAGTCTAGGGCTATGATCACAGGAAGATGTGGCAATCATTAACAGTTACCAAGAGAAAGACTAAAATCAATTACTCCCATTAAACGATGCAGACTTCAAACTACACAGGGAATTTACCAAAGAAGGAAGGATCAGCATAAATTTTTGTAATGAAAATAACACTCTACACTTTCTGCCAAGAGGCTGAGGAGCTGCAGCCATTGAAGAGATTAAAAATTAATACTAATGCTGATCATATTAAGGTTTGCTGAGAATTGATCAAACCAATCCTTCTGCATAATAATTATGCAGAAGGGGACATAGTGTCACCCACCCAAATGTTTCTTTCAATCTAAACTATTCAAGTCATTATTGGTAAATCCTCTTATCTACATATAGCACGCTTGCATTTAGTATTTAACTTACAATTTAATATTCACAGTTACTCTGCAAGACTTAAACAAACAGGAACTGCTCCCATATTAAAGTACAGCCAGACATCCAACCAAAAGCTCAATGAAGCAACAGCTCAAAATTAATTAATTAAAAGGGGCTTAAACTGATGTCGTGTCAGATTCAGTTCTCAGCCACAGTAGATACATTCACTATGGTTTTGGGTAACAATAAAAGTAGCTTTTGAATTAACTTTGGGTATCTTCCAACATTAGATTGAACTACAATTACATCTCTTTCTCCACCAGCTTCATTATGTGTCACTAAAGGTAAGAAACAGTTTGGTTTGCTAAGTTCCATCTCATCTCTGGATACTGAAACTACCAGTATCTTCATGCTGACTACTACCAGAATGAGACTGAAACAGAGCTGCAGTTTTTAACTGCACACTACGAGCATTTTAGCATTTGGATGAATGAAAAAAAAATAAAAATGTGCTAACATATTTTACATTTGTCTCATGCTTTGATTCTGTGTAGGCACTGATCATTCTCCCAGTGTGGCTATTCAGTAGTTTTTAAAAATAAAGTCAGCTGCTTTCAGAAAATGACCAAAAGTGAGAGATACCTAAGACTTGCCCAGTAAGTTGAAATCCATTTTTCAAGATTTGAACATTGCTGTAACCAAGCTGTTGAAAACCTGGAGTTACCATTGACAGCAACTGAAATGATGCGCTTTCAATACGTTTGGAACCTCAAGACAGAAAAATTACTTCTCAGATGTGAGTAAGTATACATACCTGACTGAAGTTTGTATGTCGCTGATGGAATGCTGACGTCAGTTTTTGCTGACGACTTCCTACAACAGAAGATTGGTTTATTCTTCCCAGGACAGACCGACCCTTCTTCAGTGGCTGGCATGTAGAATCTGCCAAGATATGGATGAAGAACATTTGGTTTGTTGTTACTGTCCTCTTCTAGCAGAAGTTAGACAAAGTTTCATTCACGTCAGCATACAGGGAGAAATAATAAAATAATGCACTAACTAAAGTAAAAAAAACCCTACGCACTTCAGAGTTTTTATTACAGATTAGCAGTGGGTCAGAATCTTCATACTTATGGCTACTGAATACAAATTCAAGCCTCTATTATCTACTGGTATAGAAAGAAGAAAACAACTGAACTGACTTACCTGTATTCACCATTTGTTCATCAAGATGTAACCTGTTTTCAAGTCTCATTGGTGGCACCACTACCGTGCAAACAGCTGATTTGGTTTCAGGATTAACTGATGCTCTTGCTTCCTTATTTTTATTGGTATTAGCTACAAAGCCGTTTTCCACAAATGGGCTGTCATGGCCTGAAGAGTCTGAAGTTGGGGAACCATCCACTGTATCACATCCACTTTCTTGCTCATCATCTGACATACTATCAAAAAATAAAAGCATTGCATTGAAACAAATACATGTTCATAAAATAGATGTATTTTGTTAAATTGCCACATAACATTTATAGACTTGAAACTACTCAAAGGAGGATAAAATAGTTCCATTTTAATTATACAATCACAGATATTCAGCTTGCAGTTCAAACAATATTCAGATTCATTCTACCCATAAATTGTAAGGCTCAGAGAAAAGAGATAACTTCTCCATAAGGACTTAGGATGCATAACTCAACTTGCACCCACTTTGTAATTTATTTTTCAAATCATCTTGTGCTTCTAAGATTTTACTTTTTTAGGTCAAATCGAAGGCTGAATGTTTTGTTTCTTCCTGAACCAAAACAGAAAGGTCTCTCGATGCTCATTACACTAGCAAATGAGAACATACTGATCTAATTTCCTTCTAGAAATCAGCCACATTCCGGAGTCTGCAAAAAGCCATCCCTGGGGTCTGTGGGAGTCAGGATGGGACAGAAAGAGCTGATGAAGCAATCTGCACAGTGGCAGACAGCTCCCTCTCATCTGCATATCAACCACCAGCAGCCACACTAGACCTGATCTGCTGAAAAATAAGGTCTCTGAAGCTCCTCCAGAGAGCACTGTCTGTGTGTGACTGATAGATTTTTTTTTTCCACAAATTTAGATTAAGGAGACAAACAAAACCTTCTATTTACATGGCAGCTCTTTTGGCACTCATGGTCTGTGAAATCCATGCTGGTCAAGTGGTGAAAACTCATTTATTCAACCACTGCTTTTACCAAACCAACTAATAATAATAGCCTTTGCTATCATTGTTGAAGCTCCATGCTCCATGCTTGTACCAGAAGAAGAAAGGGCTAAGGAGATGGTGAATGCCAGCTGCCAGGAGCCAGTCCATGGTGAAATCATGCAACATGTTCATATTTTCAGTGTAAACATCATGTATTCAGTATTCTGAAAACTTCCCGTGTAGCAAGACAGAACTGCTAGGAGTGATAAAAGAACAGTCTATGCTGTGCAACTGGAGGCCAATCAATTAATTTTTAACTACATCATCCAGCGTCACCAGATGGCAACATAATGCAGCTTTCTCATTTTTTTATTGTAAACTGAGTCTGCTGTACACAAATATCTTTCTCTTTACTGAAAGGAGCCCAGGTTTTTACCTGTTGGATCTCTTGCAAGGAGATGGACTAGACTGTCCTGAGGAGCTTGTGCTCAGGGTGCTGTCAGGACTGCTGAGAGAACACACACGGTCGATGTTCAGGGTGTTCTGGCAGGCTTCACAGTCAAGGCTACCTTTACACCTACACACAGGAAGAAAGAAAGCAAGTAAGCAAACATACCATCTCTCATTCATTCCTTCTGCACACCACTGACTTAGGACTAATTAGGGAATAAAAAGAGGTTAAATACTAGAAAAGGTCCCTCAGATGTAATATAATATCCAATTTCTTGTTTCTTTCACATCCAAGATGAATTTTTAAACCTTCTCAAGAGTTCTTCTGGAAATTCTAGACTAAACATGCATTTTTTGAAACATACTAAATGCATAAATTTTTTATTGAAACAATTTAAAACAAGTAGATAAAAAGATTTTTCTTCAACAGTTCAGAGCCTTGCAACATTTGACAAAGTTTTGATTTAAAATACAAGTTTCTCCAGCTCAAAATCATAACAAGCAAAAATAAAGTCAAACAAGCATTAATTTTTTAAGCCCTCACTTAAAATGAAACATGTTTCTTTGATAGCTCTGTGAAAGAAAACTCCTTTGGGGGACCACACTCAGCATCTGCTTTTATATGCGAATGCACACCTTTACATACTGTTAGAGAAGTATTTTTTACCCCTATTTATGTCATGTGATCTAATGGAAGCTACTGCTAGAATGATAACATTGATTATACAAAGTCAGAAGACTGACCTTGAACAAATAAAAAGAGTATAGGAGTATTAAGCAAATAAAAGGTATGCTGGACATTTGGTCTGGTTTGACCAAATATGTTACAAAAGGATAAAAAATTGTCTCCTATTGCAAATATCTAACTTACACAGATTAATGTGGCAGTCTTTTGAAAGTATTTTTCACTTCCAAATAATATACTGGTACAGAGTTAACTTCTTAGTGAAATCTGATTAGAAGTGCTTTGTTTGTCTTTTCCTAACCGAGACTCATTAAAATATAGCAGCTGTGCTAACGCAGCTATTTTGAAGTAACACTTTACTAAAAGTAAACATTCTTACTCTCTTAGTGAATGTGTTTGTCCTATGTCATCTTCATCTGTGTCACTGCTGATGGTGATGACGCTGACTGCTGGGCTGGGGGAGCCAGCAATGAAGATAGCCTGGCGCTGTTTGGTTGACAGAGTTGAATCAGGATCCAGCCTGACCGATGCTTCACAACAGTTACTTTCCTGTCCTTCTGACTTATGATTGTCCTGTGCTTCTATACAGCTTATTCTCTTCACAGCCTTCAGGTTAAGTATCTTTGGAGATATAAAGGCTGAATTTTGGATATTGGTATTTTGTAACACATTGCTCCTGCGAAGAAAACACACCATTTGACATGTAGTGAAGCTCTACCAACAGGCCTGAAAACTATTTTCAACAAAAAACAAGGAAAACAATGTAGGCTAAACCACCAATTTTCAGAACTCATACAAAGAAAAACATAAAACAGCAAACACAGTCATAAATATTTGGGATAAATTATTTCAGGCATTAATTAAAACCCCCAAACTATGTAATATCCAAGACTAAAACTTGCAACAACATTGAATAAAATACATTGAAAATCCCATTTTCTTAGAAAGCGAAAAAGAAACTAAAATCCCACTTGGGCTCAAGACAAGCAAACTAAACCTGGCCAAGTTTCCTGCAAAGATTCTCCCTGAAAACAAAAGCTGATAGTCTCTGGATGAAATCCTTGCTTTATACAAGATTGCTGAAGTTGTCCTTTGTAGCCAACGTGTTCCCCTTTATCAAGCATCCTGCACCTTGGCAAATACTCTGCACGGCAGTGGAACATACTTTCTTCAGCGAGCAGCTAAAGTATTTTTGGCCACCAGTGAAGGAAGGGCTATTCTTAAGATGACTATAAGACATACTGCAACCCTGTTATATGGCATCTCTTTATTTTTAGTTGTCTAAACCTGATACATCCTCATGCACATAAGCTTAGGATATCTCATTAGAGCTACCTCATTATGTTCTTATACCTTCCCAAAGGCTATAAAGACAACTTTGCTATCATGATAGGTACATACTAATCAACAGGAACTAAAGCCTCTTATTATTGCAAGCATTTTTCCATCTAGTCTCTATTACCTAAATAACACTGAAAACTCAGGGCAGAAAGGGCAAATCACCATTTCATTACAACTGTCACTAACAAATATGCCCCTTTTACAGGCTATTCCCCTGCCCACTGAACAGCAACTACAGATACACTGGTTTTGAATGTCAGAAATATTGTACCAACCTGTTGTGACACAGTTTGTTCCTCTTGGTAGCTGCAGGCTGAGGCCAGACAACATGTGCAATGCCCACACTAATTGGCTGAGGGGCAGACAAGGTTATCTGATGTGTTAAAAGAGGCTGTGGTATCAATGAATTGTAATGGGTGCCCTGGGTAATCATCTTCCTGAGGAAAAATAAAGGAGGTTTTAAATTGCAAGTCATTTGCATCACACCCAGAGATCTTGCTAAACCAAAGGCATTAAGGTACTGCACAAAACCATGTGGACTTACCCCCAGTCTCCAAGCCTCTGTGGGCCAGCCACAGGATCAGAGGCCAGAGATGTAGCAGGAGCTGCCACTGGTGCTACTTGCTGCCATGCAGGAACCAGTATTTGCTGGGTCTGATTCGACCACGTCTGTTGAGAAGCAGAGAAGATTACATGATACAGGGAAGGACTGAATTTACATCGTAGTTCAGCACGAAACAGAAGGACTGCAACAGAACTCTACAGGGCAAAAGTATTTCATAACTAATAATAAAACAGATAGGATTTTTACTTTCAAGTAAGCCAACCTGAGAAAGGATTCCTGCTCGAATCTGGAGCGGCTGAATTGCGTGCGCTTGGGTCACCAAAGGAACTGCATTGTCCACCCTCAGGGAGAAACTGGTAGGTTTACTAGGGTTTGTAGGAATTCCTGCCAGGGAGAAAAGCACATACCCAACCTTTAAGCAAAACACTAGTCTTGCACATATTATCTGAGCAAAATGCAAACACAGAGGATCATGTCATAACACTTTTCTTTATGTGCTTATAATCTAATTCCATAACTCAGACTTTCAAGCTAAATAAACCAACACCTAAAAGATTTTTGTGCTGTTACTTATCTGCACAAATATTTGATGCTGTTATTTCCAGAAAAAAAACACTGCTAAGATCTACTATTTGGAAACTACTAGAAAGTGGAATAATTTTGGCAGAAAGTTCTGCAAAGCTAAGCATTTACTCTTTATGACAAATTGCATTATAAGTATTTGAAATAAGCAGACAAAAGTAAGCAGAATTGGATTACAAAGCTTTTCTGACTCCCGCACATCTCATGCTGTGTATTTCCAACTAGCAGAAATCCATTGCTCTCAGCTTTTGTAGCTGGGAATGCCACATGTATAGAGCCCCTATTTGTTACCAAACAAACATTTCTGGGCAACAAAGTAAAATTGCCTGCATATGCCATCAAATACTTGCAGTAGAATCCATAATCCTACTCATCCCTTCATCAAAATAATGCAAACTGTAGAACTGTTGGATTATTACCACAATAGCATAAGAGGGAAAAGATGCATCTCATGCTCCACACAGATTTTATTATTGTCACAAGAAACTAACAGACATATAGCAATTCTGCAATGCTTACTACTAAAAATAATTTTTAAGATAACCATGTTAAACTAAAATCAAAGAGAATTTTTTCAGCTGTTATTGCAACAGAACAGCTATGCAAGAAGATAATACTGGCTAGGCAAATATACTAATTTCATCTTCTAACTGAACTTTGCTTCTTGTGCTTTAGTCAAAGTCTAACCAACAGCTACTTGGAGGTAACCACTAAATAACTACTAAACTTCAAGTGTTTTGGGTTGTTTTTTTATCTTCACAATAAAGGATGTAAGAAAACCTTAATCTGATGCAATTCTTTCATGTTGCAACACAATACTAAGTTACAACCATGCAGTCCAAAGCTTTTCATTTTGAAATACTGTTGACTAATTTTTTCCACACAGCCATCTAGAACAGTAACATCTTCGCTTTGCCAGAGGTGGAGAGCTTTAGCACTTCAGATATTCAACAGAGCAGGGAAACCCTGAAGCAGTGCCAGGTACCATTAATATTCCTTTCTCTCCATGCCAGCAACTCATCACCTACGTGATGAAAATAATATATTCCCTTCATTCAAGCTGTAGCAGAACTTAAATTTGTAAATGTATCATCATACTAAGAATACAATACACAGATCACAGAAGAAGTATATGCCTGTATGTTTTCTTTCCTATAATCCTTTATTCACCTGGGTATAATCAAAACAGCAGGGTTTTAAATTACGGCATAAGCATGTATATACATATATAGTTATATATGCATATATGCAATTTAAATAAGAAATTCTTTAGCCATACCAAGTGCTCAGAAGGAAATCTGTATGAAGATACACATTTAGCTCATAGAGCTTCTTACATTCTGCATGGTGAACACTTAGAGCTTTCATGAGCTTCTGAAAGCCAAGATAGATGCAGCAGCTACAAATAACATTACTGATAAAGTCTGTTGTTTTTATCTAAAGAGATAAGACTTCCTGTGTCATAAGGTTAGGCTAAAAGTGTTTGTTGTTGGGGTTTTTTTTCCATGTGAGTCTAGTGTGATTCCTAGAACTTCAAACTGGGGGGGGGGAGATCTAAGGAGGAATCTAAATGTCATTCTTCAAAAAAAACTACTTTCTATTAACTCCTTCATTTCAAGATCTGATCTCAACATAAAGTTGAACATCCAAAGACAGATAAATTGCATCTTTGCAGATGGAAGACTATAATAAAGTTCACTTAATAAGTAAACAATATAAGCTAACTTTCCCTCTCTATAAATTACTATTTGTAGGGTAAGAACAGCTGGTTTTCACCCACTTCTTTCTGATCAGCTCAACAGGAACAACAAATTTTGCTTGATATATTCTGAGATCTAACTGAAGTTTTGAAGACTCCTCCAAAAAACAGGGCCTACATTTGTATTATGCAAATTAATTTGTTTAGGGAAACAGAGGTCAACTACATTCTTCTGTGCTGGCATTTCTATCTCACAGTCTTCCAGATGTTTCTGATAATTGAACCCTCAGCCAATTATTTCTTTCCATAAATACAAAATTGTATGCCTGCAACAATCTTATCCTTTGTAATATTGGAGAGCTCAGCCAGGCTGCCCTTTCCTCCTCACAGCACGATGCAATCAAGATTCTCAAAGATTTAGTGATCTGGTTTTCAGCCATCAGAAAGCTGTGGTAGCTCTGTCCAGCATTAAAACCACAGAACAGTAAACATTACACTATTTATGCAGGGTAGCTACATCCTTAAATAAAGCCCCAAGTTTCCAGATTTTTTCGTTAACATTCACTCTGAAGTCCAATTAAAAAATTTCAACTTTATTATCCAGAGAGAACAGTCACAAGAACTACTGTATTTTCTCACCCTTAACCCCAGGATACCCTAGGGATTTGTTTTACTTGAAGAAAAAAAAACACTGCACCACAACCAAACCAACAAACAAAAAAACCAACACACAAAACCACCACCAAGCCCATAAAACCCACCACAGTACTGATATTCCTCTCACCTTTCTTCTTTCCTCTCAACTTTTATTTCATAGTACCCTCCTTTCTTGCTTAAGTTTCCACCTTGTGTCCTCTGTTTTATCCGAGATGTGTATGTTTACATCTTACCATCATATATGTGTGTGATATATGAAGATGGGCTCTAAATTGCTTATATCATTTTATGCAGATGCCAATTTGTTATTTCTTTCAGAAAGATGCAATTTATCTGGATCTGATTCACATGATATTTTTTTATGGCATAATTATGTTATTTTAAATACATAGCTTAAGTGGATATAATGGAAAACCCAAATACTGCAAACAGACAGTAATGCCACTATTTCAGGAACTGTAACAATCACAGTTAAACATACCTTGAATAGTTGGAGGACATATAATCAATGCCTGTTGGAAAACATCACTGCAACCAAACTGAGCAGTTCCTGCCTGCAGTGGTATTCCTTGGTGCAAAATGGAATGGGCAGATGCAGTTAATGCCTATGGGAACAAATCAAATACAGGTACCGTTACAACTGTGAATGGAAATGTCTCACACACTTCTCCCACCACCTAATGTAACAAACTTAAGAATTAACGTTCCAAAAACGTTTCACAGGAAGCAATCCCGTTTGGCCACCGGAGGGCACCACAATACACCACTACTTTGCTGTGACAACTCCAGCTTGTAACTTAAGTTTTAAAACACGGTATTCTAAAGGTTTGCTGGTTTGTTTAAGAAAACAATAAGGAAAAATTAGAGTAAAAGACAGAATACTTTTTCACTTACAAGATGTACCTTTTTAATTATGAAATTAATTAGAGAAACTACAGTAACAGAATTAATAATTAAGGAAAAAAAAAAAAAAGTCATTACCTGGCTTCTTACTGGACTAATTTTGGTAAAGCTTGCAGTCAGATTAGCTGCACTGCCAGAGGCAACTGGTCTCATTAGTGACGTTTTATTGCGATTACTTAAGTCATACAAATTTGATCTGCTTTTGCATACATCCATGATATGAAAACAGGACTTCACTCTATCAAAACCAGAAAATAAGCAGCTTTAATTAGAATTTCATGTTGTCAGATGTATAAAACAATTCCTCGGAGCAAGGAAAAAAAGAAAAGTTCAAAGCCTGCAGTTCCCAGTTTCCCAGAAAGGCATCATACACAGAAGTAGAAAAATACCAATATTACTATGTCAAGCCTTGGTAATGCATATTTTAAAGAAAAACACTGCTATTTCCTGCTCCTTCCATCTAACACCATTTTCTAACAACTGCGTTCAAGCAGGAAGAAGAGCAAATTAAATGGATGGAAAGCTCTTTCAGTGAAATGCTTGCACTTTAGGAAATCCACAGTGAAATACTCCACAACTGCAAGAAAACTTTCAATTTATTCCACATTAATCAATGCATTTTAAAAAACACCTGAGATGTTAATCTCAAAAGGAAATGCCTAGACTAATTCTCAATGACTGATAGGAATTCAGGCTCTTCATGCTTCCAAAAATTAAGCCCAAGTTTCTGCAGTGTGGGAATTTTATCAAGGAGGGATATGAATGCTAACTTACAAATGTACTGTTCTAAATGTTATTTTTCAGAAAAAAAAAAAAACACAACACAGTTATTCACTTTCCTCAAGCCAGTAGATGTGCCTAATATTGCAAACACTTGAAAGAGTTCTCTAAGACACAACAAAAATGACATTTTCCCTCTGATATTTGAAACAACACTGGAATACACATGAATCACTGCAATTGAACTTTAAAAAAAATTATAATTCTGTTACATACTGGTTGCTATGAGGAAAATCAAGGAGGTGCTTCATGGTAACAAAAGAATGGTTCAGGGTCTCAGCTGGAGTGATTCTTAAATCAGCATCAATCAGCAACATTTTCTTCAACAGACTGACAAACTCCCTCCGATCTGCCTTCTCTGCCAACAGGTCACTTCCTTCCAAATCCATCACCATGTTCACCTGGCATTGAACAACACAGTCAGACAGAAGATACACATATTGGTTTAACTCTGTTAATTCTTTCTGCCATAAAGTGCTAATATTCAGTGATTTTATCATGTGGGGCACAGTGAATCTGCCAGCTTAGCCCAGTACGGTTGGCTTGGAGTCGATGACTTTTTTACACACACACACACACAGAACTCCCCTTGCAGCCTTGCCAGCTAAATCTCCTGAAGGCTTCATTCTCATCTTGATTTTGGAATATAAAAAGTAATCTCTAGGATAACAAGTGTTATATGGTCTAACTTAAAACTACACAGGTAGCCTTCAAAAAAAAATTTCAAACATGTACTCATGCCAATCTTGCAAACAGATTTGATTCTCTTTTCAGGATATGAAACAATGAAAATTTCATTTTGTTATTGACTAGAGAGTTATAAAGTGCAAAAACAGCTATTTTTTTTTAAAAAAAAAAGAAGAAAAAATCATTATATTGAGAATTAGATTATTAAGAAAGGAGAATTATACTGAAAATTATATAGTTAAGATGGCAGGATTCATATGCATTCTTTTTTTACCCACAATGACAGACAAGGTAGAAGACAAAGTATATTTATACATAAAATTAAAGGGTTCTCCCCACCACAAGGCCAATACTACCATTTAAAACAAGCAATGACAAAGGAAGATCTTCATAAAAAGCTCAAAGCACTAACATAGCTAGACATTTTCCTCGAGCAATGTATGTAGAGAATAATGGATAAGACTGATATGCAATAAATAATATTCTAACAGGTGTTCATTTCAAACTAGCAAAATGTTTTTAAAATCACACATTCCTTCTGGAAAGGAAGAATGCTTTAATACTCACATGCACTATATCATCCAAACTGTTGAAAATATACTTTCTGGCCTCTTTGGACTTCATACCTGTCTCTGCCTCATGCTCTTCCAATGTCTCAAAAAAAAAAAGAAAGCTGAGTTTAGAAGCTGACTATAAATGACACAGCAACAAAGTAACTTTACATATGTATTAGCCTAATAAACATTTTTATTAAAAAAATAATATTTTAAGTATATATTTGTATGCTGCTATTCTGACTACTTTCATTTTCTACATTGAAATACAAAACCTCCTGAATTTCATGTCTGAGTGATCACGGTAGTGGATGACAAGGGATGGCTTGTAAATCACATAAGTGCTGAAAGTGCAGCAAAACACTATTTAATGAAACTCCCCCTTGCAACTCTGTTTCTATGTATCGTAAGTTTTCTATTATATGTATTTTACACATTTCCTAGAATTCAGATTTTTAACTCCAAACAGCACTAGCACTATATCACTGTAAAAAAAAATAGTAAATCAAACCACACAAACAAACCCAACCAAAAACCAGGCAGGTTCTATTCAATTTCTCTTTGCTTTCTCCTTTCTTTGTTATTTTTATAATTCTATTTCTTTGCACAACAAACAGTTGGTGTCAGCATTTTAAATACTGAAAAATGAAACAAACAATTAAATCCTAGAGAATTAATGTGATCACCTATCAGTGATTTATGAGCTGGAATACCACTTTGCTACAATTTTCCTCTTTCAACAAAGACAGCACCAGGAGGCAGGTTTTGTTTTAAGTACCCATGTTACAGGAGGCAAGGCAGGACTGCAGGGAAAATAAATTTTTAGCATATAGATTAAAGACAACTCCTCAAAAATTAAACTTTGACAAAACCCGACAGTCTATACCACCCCAAATCAGCATTTAGTGTCTGCTGTGAGAGATTTAAGCTCTGAAAGGTAACAGCTTCTAAAAATGGGGAGAGCTGTTTGCGTCAATAACTCGCGTAGGTCCTCTGATACAGAGAAGCCAGTTCTAAACTGTCACCTAATGATCAATTGCCTGCAAAAAAAAAACCCAAACATAGAAAACTGGAACAATCAGGGGTGTAACTGGAGACTCCTTACATAACCCAACCCGGCAGCGTCAGGGCAGGGCAGCACCAGCCCTGGCCATTCAGCCCAACACCCGCCAGGGATTGACCAAGTTGCCGCAGTTTCGCAACCTGTGCTTTGAGCTTCTCAGCTGTTTGTTGCCGCACAAGTTTTATGTCAACGGTAATAACTGTTTCCTGACTTCCCAAGTCCTCCTTGAATTTGGTGAAGCAGCACCATTAAGTAGTACAATTTAAAAAAAAAAAAAAAAAACAACATTTGCATTGGAAGTTAAACTTCTGCTTACAGCCCCTGTGCAATAATGTTGCTTAAAGAAAAGGAAGGTGTGCATTAAATTACATTTAATTTTGCCTGCTTTCATTGTATTGCAGCTTTCAGCCAACAGAGCCTGTTTCAGTACGGGATCTGAACAAAATGAATTGCACACAGCCATGCTGTTTGTTAATCACCTTTCTCCTTTGAACTTTTTTTGGTCCTGAAGGCAATTTAGAGCAAATTTTGACAGAGCAGTTTGAAATTCAGACTCGAATTCCCTAAAGCGAAGTGAAAAGGAGTGATCGAGCACGTGTAGAAAACCTCATGTATTACCTCTGGAGATACAAGCCTTAATTTTAATTCAGTGCCTGCTTTTCACCTGGCAACCATGAACTGGCCACCCAGCCACCATAGCCTGGCAACTGCTCCAGACCTGCCTCTGGGCCAGCCAGCTGGGAGGACACGTGGCCATAAGCTTGGAGTACTGGTTTTGAGGAATGGAAAAAATGGAAAGGATACAGAGCAGGGAGTGGTAAAAATCACAGGAGGCATGGAAGGCAGCTAACAGTATCTTATGGCAAATATAATACACTGTTTTCTACTATATTATACTGTTTACCTTTAATCTCCAACTAGAATATGGTGCATCTGTTTCTCTACAGAAAAATCTTGCAGTTTTCGTTCCCATGCTTAACAACTGCTCCCCTGGCAAACCTTGAGTCTGTGAAATGTAACGAATCTGAGGAAGAAAAAAAAAATAAACATGGGAAAGAATTTACCTCTGATGTTCAAAATCTGATCCACACAGTTAATGACTTGACATTTAGTTTTTTAAAAATGCAAAGTGAACCACTCTCAGAGCACTGTAGCTCAACAACTTCATCTTACATAGGAGAGAAACCTAACATTGAGTCCTTGCTACTTCTCTCTCTATCTCTCAGAGAAACCATACATAAACAAACCTCTGAACTGA